TATCCAACTGTTTTGCTGATGCCATGGCTTAAAATTTCTCCAAAACAATGTTAGTTTGTTATTGTTTCTGTCGTCTGGTATGTAATATGCTCCCACTATCATCTGCTTTCAAGCAGACCCAAAAATACTTCCCTACTTTAATATCAGTGTTGGTAGAGGAAGAAATATTAGTGCATGAAACATGACATCACTTCTGGCAAAGCATTCTCTCTAGTATGACTTCTCATGTGACTTTCTAACTGAAATCTTTTAGTAAAGTCTTTCATACATTCTGAACACTGATACGGCCTCTCCTCAGTATGAGTTCTCATGTGTCTTGTTAAATGTGATTTCTTAGAAAAGCTTTTCAGACATTCTGAACACTGATATGGCTTCTCTCCAGTATGAATTCTTGTGTGTATTTTTAAATGTCTTTTGCTGGAAAAATCTTTCAGACATTCTGAACACTTAAATGGCTTCTCTCCAGTATGAATTCTCATGTGAATTACCAACCCTGCTTTTTGAGAAAAGTCTTTCAGACATTCTGAACATTGATATGGATTCTCTCCAGTATGAATTCTCAAGTGTCCTTCTAAACCACTTTTGCTGGAAAAGTCTTTCTGACATACTGAACACTGATGTGACTTTCCTATAATATGAGTTCTCTTGTGACTTACTAAATGAGATTTTCTAGAAAAATCTTTCAGACATACTGAACACTGATATGGCTTCTCTCCAGTATGAATTCTCATGTGACTTGCTAAACATGATTTTATAGAAAAGTCTTTCAGACATTCTGAACATTGATATGGCTTCTCTCCAGTATGAGTTCTCACGTGATTTACTAAATATGATTTTCTAGAAAAGTCTCTCTGACACTCTGAACACTGATATGGCTTCTCTCCAGTATGAGTTCTTATATGCCTTTCTAAATTTTCTTTGTGATGAAAATTTTTCAGACATACTGAACACTGATATGGCTTCTCTCCAGTATGAGTTCTAATGTGACTTACTAAATACGATTTTCTAGAAAATTCTTTCAGACATTCTGAACACTGATATGGCTTCTCTCCAGTATGAGTTCTCATGTGATTTACTAAATGTGATTTTCTAGAAAAGTCTTTCAGACATTCTGAACACTGATATGGCTTCTCTCCAGTATGAATTCTTACATGCTTTTCTAAATCTACTTTGTGATAAAAGTCTTTCAGACATTCTGAACACTGATAAGGCTTCTCTCCAGTATGAGTTCTCATGTGACTTATTAAATATGGTTTTCTAGAAAAGTCTTTCAGACATTCTGAACACTTAAATGGCTTCTCTCCAGTATGAATTCTCATGTGAATTATCAACCCTGCTTTTTGAGAAAAGTCTTTCAGACATTCTGAACACTTAAATGGATTCTCTCCAGTATGAATTCTCAAGTGTCCTTCTAAACCACTTTTGCTGGAAAAGTCCTTTTGACATACTGAACACTGATATGACTTTCCTATAATATGAGTTCTCTTGTGACTTATTAAATGAGATTTTCTAGAAAAATCTTTCAGACATATTGAACACTGATATGGCTTCTCTCCAGTATGAATTCTTATGTGTCTTTCTAAATTTTCTTTGTGATAAAATTTTTTCAGACATACTGAACACTGATATGGCTTCTCTCCAGTATGAGTTCTAATGTGACTTACTAAATACGATTTTCTAGAAAATTCTTTCAGACATTCTGAACACTGATATGGCTTCTCTCCAGTGTGAGTTCTCATGTGATTTACTAAATGTGATTTTCTAGAAAAATCTTTCAGACATTCTGAACACTGATATGGCTTCTCTCCAGTATGAATTCTTATGTGTCTTTCTAAATCTTCTTTGTGATAAAAGTCTTTCAGACATTCTGAACACTGATATGGCTTCTCTCCAGTGTGAGTTCTCATGTGATTTACTAAATGTGATTTTCTAGAAAAGTCTTTCAGACATTCTGAACACTGATATGGCTTCTCTCCAGTGTGAGTTCTCATGTGATTTACTAAATGTGATTTTCTAGAAAAGTCTTTCAGACATTCTGAACACTGATATGGCTTCTCTCCAGTATGAGTTCTCATGTGACTTATTAAATATGGTTTTCTAGAAAAGTCTTTCAGACATTCTGAACACTGATATGACTTCTCCCCAGGATGAGTTCTCAAGTGCCGTAGATAGTAACAGTTTTTAGAAAACTCTTTTAGACACACTGAACACTGAAAGATTTTTTTGTCTATATTACACTTGGTCTGACATCCACACTGAAGTTGTTGTGAAGATTGTTTTAGTGATGAGTGTGAATGTTGATATAATTGGTCTCCTACATGAACAACTGTACATTGTGTTGCCTCAACACATTGTTTTTCAGGTATTTTAGACATAGTGAACTATAAGTTCTCACACATTTAAATTGTTTAACCAGGGGATATTTGAGAATATTTTATTACAGAGAAAACTAATATTCTTGTATTATTCTATTATTTTAAGAATACCAAGCAGTAATCCTGTAGGGGAAATAGTGTCTCAAGAATAGGAAGGATAACACTAGCAGATATTTATGACACATGAACCATATGATAGTGTTCTTGACAGTGTAAGTGTTGTATTACCTAAGCTATTTTTACAGTGTTATCACTATTAACACTGTTGTTAGTGTGTAACTGAATTACACTGAGAGTGTTGTCACTATACAAACATCATAATTAGTGTTGTCACTGTACAAACATCATAATTAGTGTTGTCACTGTATAAACATAATTAGTGTTGTCACTGTATAAACTTTATAATCAGTGTTGTCACTGTACACACATTATAATTAGTGTTGCCACTGTATAAACATCATAATTAGTGTTGTCACTGTATAAACAGTGCTATCACTGTATAAACATTATAATCACTGTTGTCACTATATAAACATAATCAGTGTTGCCACTGTATAAACATCATAATCAGTGTTGTCACTGTATACACATCATAATCATTGTTGTCTCTGTATAATCATCATAATCACTGTTGTCACTGTATAAACATCATAATCAGAATTGTCACTGTATAAACATCATAAACAGTGTTGTCACTATAAATACATTATAGTATTTGCAGAACTTACAGGAGCTTCTTGACACTGATGTTGGTAGTACAAGTACCACCTTCCTGTACCAGGATGACCTGCAGTATTCACACTACAAGTGTCACCTTCCTGTACCAGGATGACCTGCAGTACTGACACTACAAGTACCACCTTCCTGTACCAGGATGACCTGCAGTACTGACACTACAAGTACCACCTTCCTGTACCAGGATGACCTGCAGTACTGACACTACAAGTACCACCTTCCTGTACCAGGATGACCTGCAGTATGACACTACAAGTGCCACCTTCTTGTACCAGGATGACCTGAAGTATTGACACTACAAGTGCCACCTTCTTGTACCAGGATGACCTGCAGTATTCACACTACAAGTGTCACCTTCTTGTACCAGGATGACCTGCAGTATTGACACTACAAGTACCACCTTCTTGTACCAGGATGACCTGCAGTATTCACACTACAAGTGTCACCTTCTTGTACAGGATGACCTGCAGTATTGACACTACAAGTACCACCTTCTTGTACCAGGATGACCTGCAGTATTCACACTACAAGTGTCACCTTGTACCAGGATGACCTGCAGTATTGACACTACAAGTACCACCTTCTTGTACCAGGATGACCTGCAGTATTCACACTACAAGTGTCACCTTCTTGTACCAGGATGACCTGCAGTATTGACACTACAAGTACCACCTTCTTGTACCAGGATGACCTGCAGTATTCACACTACAAGTGTCACCTTGTACCAGGATGACCTGCAGTATTGACACTACAAGTACCACCTTCTTGTACCAGGATGACCTGCAGTATTGACACTACAAGTACCACCTTCTTGTACCAGGATGACCTGCAGTATTCACACTACAAGTGTCACCTTGTACCAGGATGACCTGCAGTATTGACACTACAAGTACCACCTTCTTGTACCAGGATGACCTGCAGTATTCACACTACAAGTGTCACCTTCTTGTACCAGGATGACCTGCAGTATTGACACTACAAGTACCACCTTCTTGTACCAGGATGACCTGCAGTATTCACACTACAAGTGTCACCTTGTACCAGGATGACCTGCAGTATTGACACTACAAGTACCACCTTCTTGTACCAGGATGACCTGCAGTATTCACACTACAAGTGTCACCTTGTACCAGGATGACCTGCAGTATTGACACTACAAGTACCACCTTCTTGTACCAGGATGACCTGCAGTATTCAACACTACAAGTGTCACCTTCTTGTACCAGATGACCTGCAGTAATTGCACACTACATTTAGTGTCACCTTGTACCAGGATGACCTGCAGTATTGACACTACAAGTACCACCTTCTTGTACCAGGATGACCTGCAGTATTCACACTACAAGTGTCACCTTCTTGTACCAGGATGACCTGCAGTACTGACACTACAAATACCACCTTCTTGCTCCAAGATGACCTGCAGTCGTGACACTACAAGTACCACCTTGTACCAGGATGACCTGCAGTACTGACACTACAAGTACCACCTTCTTGTACCAGGATGACCTGCAGTACTGACACTAGATGTGCCACCTTCTTGTACCAGGATGACCTGCAGTACTGACACTACAAGTACCACCTTCTTGTACCAGGATGACCTGCAGTACTGACACTACAAGTACCACCTTCTTGTACCAGGATGACCTGCAGTACTGACACTAGATGTGCCACCTTCTTGTACCAGGATGACCTGCAGTATTGACACAACAAGCGTCAGCCTCTGGTAAGACCTGCAAAATTTAATTGAATATTTATAGTCTTTTATTATAAACATTATTATAATTAATTATAATTATAAGAATTATTATTTTAAACATACCAGCCATTCTCCCACTAAGTAAAGGTGACTAAATAATGAAGAACACTTTCCCATCACTGTCTTCAGAGGAGGGTATGACTTACAGTTCAGACTGTACATCCAAACTCGTAAATTCCCCCACCCTTCCTTCAGAGTACAGCACTGTACTTCTACCACCAGCCCATTTTCAGAGTGAAAGCACTTAATTCCCACCAACACTCCCTCCTCTCAGAGTGCAGCACTGTACTTTCCAACCACCACTCTCCTCCCCTCAGAGTGCAGGCACTGTACTTTCCACCACCACCCCTCCTCCAGAGTGCAGGCACTGTACTTTCCACCACCACCCCTCCTTCAGAGTGCAGGCACTGTACTTTCCACCACCACCCACCCTCCCTCAGAGTGCAGGCACTGTACTTTTCCACCACCACTCCTCCCCAGAGTGCAGGCACTGTACTTTCCACCACCACCCCTCCTTCAGAGTGCAGGCACTGTACTTTTCACCATCACTCCTCCTCCAGAGTGCAGACACTGTACTTTCAACCACCACTCCTCCTCCAGAGTGCAGGCACTGTACTTTCCACCATCACCCCTCCTCCAGAGTGCAGGCACTGTACTTGACACCACCACTCCTCCTCCAGAGTGCAGGCACTGTACTTTCCACCACCACCCCTCCTTCAGAGTGCAGGCACTGTATTTTCCACCACCACCCTCCTCCTCTCAGAGTGCAGGCACTGTACTTTCCACCACCACTACCCCCAGAGTGCAGGCACGTACTTTCCACCACCACCCCCCTTCAGAGTGCAGGCGACTGTACTTTCCACCACCACCCCTCCTTCAGAGTGCAGGCACTGTACTTTCCACCACCACCCCTCCTCCAGAGTGCAGGCACTGTACTTTCCACCACCACCACCCCTCCTCAGAGTGGCAGGCACTGTACTTTCCACCACCACCCCTCCTTCAGAGTGCAGACACTGTACTTTCCACCACCCCCCTCCCCTTCAGAGTGCAGGCCCACTGTACTTTCCACCACCACCACTCCTCCTCCAGAGTGCAGGCACTGTACTTTCCCCACCACCACCCTCCTCCAGAGTGCAGGCACTGTACTTTCCACCACCACCCCCCCTCAGAATGCAGGCACTGTACTTCCCACCCCCAGGTCTCAAGTCCAATTAATCAGTTTCCCTGAATGTCTTCACAAATGTTATCTTGCTCAAACTCCAATAGCATGTCATGTCCAAAAAACCATTTGCCTTTATAACATGTTCACACATGCCTGCATGGTGTCCAAGCCCCTTGCATACAAAACCTCCTGTACCCCCTCCCAACTTTTCCTTGGATGAGTCCTACCCTACTTTCACTCCACTATAGATTTATATGCCCTAAAAGTAAACCTATTTTATTCCATCCTCTCTAAATATCCATAACACCTAAACAACCCATCCTCACTCTCTGAATAATACTTTTAATCACTTTCCACTTCCTAATCTCATAGCTACACATTCTCTGCATAATACACTACTATACAGTATCATTAATTATAAAAAACTTTTCATTATCATTGACCAATTTTCCACTAAGGTAAGGGTTGACTCAAGAAAGACGAAACACATTGTCATCAATCGATTTCCATCACTATCTTTTCAGAAACCTTGCTTATACTACAATTCAAAGAGAGTGACATATTATTATTAGTTAATCCTAAAAGTTGTCCAAATGCGGTTTTTCTACATTTGTAACTGAATAGTGGTCCAAACTTGTAGATTACTACGTTTTGACAAGTTTAATGTAAAAGTAAACAAGGGAGGCACAATGAAGGGCATAAGTGTGACATTTTATTGTGGCAAAACGTTTCGCTCTTATGGAGCTTTGTGTCAAGACGTTACTGACAGTTTATGGGTTAATATGATTTCAACAAAATGAGTTCACACCTGTATTGTGTAAAGATTGAACTACTCAAGTGCTGAAAAGGAACTACCAGCGAAGAGAAGATTCAAGTATACAGCCAGGAGTTAATATGCAACTGCACTTGAAAACATAGAAAGACTTGTACAAAATTCTCATGAAATTTAGACAAGTCACAAATATACACAGTTGTTTGCAAAATTTGACAAAAACAGTCTCATCTCTTTCCACTTAAATCTACCTTTTACTGGCTATCTCTTCCGCAATATTGATTTGATTTATTATGTGAATTGCTGAGTTAACTGAACATTATGACTAACAGTCCAGACTTGCCATTAAAGTCAGTTTCATGTCAAAAACTCATAGTATCTGCACTTCAAGTCAGAATTTCTAAGAGTGAAGCAGGAAAAGTTTGAGCACACAGATGCTTTAAAATACACACAGACAAAAATGAATTCTGTGTTTCTTGATTAGTGGAACAATTAATGAGGTGTTCAAATATTAATAGAACTTTAAAAGTTTCCCAGAGGCACACTGGGCACCTTTTCCTGTGATAAAGTGAGACCTCTAGTGGTTAATACACAGTTGTGTGAGAACTGTCTCTCAAGAACAACAACAATGTTTATCAACAACCCAATAATGGTTTGATGATCAGTTGTTCACTAACTTCGAATAATGTTGCTCCAACAGATCATAAATGTGACACCAATGAAAACAAGTTGAACAACTTAACTATGGATTGATCCAAAAATAGTTTGTTCACTAACCACAACTAATCTTAATCCCATAGAACACGAATGTTCCAAGACAAAACTGGAAAATAGTGTGAATAGGTCATATATAACAAAAAAAAGGCACAATACCGTGACTGGAACGATACACAAATAACCCACACATAAAAGAGAGAAGCTTACGACGACGTTTCGGTCCAACTTGGACCAATGACAAAGTCCAAGTCGGACCGAAACGTCGTCGCAAGCTTCTCTCTTTTATGTGCGGGTTATTTGCGTATCGTTCCAGTCACGGTATTGTGCCTTTTTTTTTGTTATTTATGGACCCCGCAGTTAAGCGTCATATTCTCTCCAACTTTTTTAATGTTCTTCCCTCTTTTAAACCCCTCTTTCAATCTTATGAGGCTGCTCTTATTGCTACCCGGCGTCGTAAGAATCAGCTTCGCTTCCTACGTGACTGTCTTGCTAAACAAGTTCTGCCACCTGCCTTCTCCCATTTCCTGAAAACCAACCCACTGGGCACTCCCTTTCCTGATCATGCCCGTCTCCTACTACAACAGCTCATTCTTCTACTAAATCACAGTTGAAGATGCCTTCTTTACTTTCCGTCAACGTCAACGTGCTCTCTTTGCTGCTCTACCACAGGATCTCTGTAACCTTCTCTCTACCACTGCCTTTGACACTGCTCGCCTGAATGCACAAATTCATTCTTCAAACTACAAAATAAACTTCAACGTCTCATCTCAGCTAGCCCTTGGTCTAAATTCTCCCTCACTGACTGTGTACTAATCTGTCTTCTGCTCACTCTCTCAGTATGAGCTTGACTTCTTGGTTTTGGCCTTTCCTTTGCCACTTGCCTACTCCTCGCGCTGGTATTCCCTGATTACTCTTTTGATTCCTTTCGTCAATCTCGCTTCCGTAATCTCCTGACTTGTCCACTTTTCGTGGTGCTCTCCTTCCGGCTCTTGTTAGTCTGTTTCTAAGAATCACCACCTTCCACGCCGTTACCAACTTGCCCTTTCTTCTCTTAAATCCAACACTAACATTGTCATACTATCTTCTGACAAAGGTAATTCGGTAGTTATCCTGATCGCGAGGATTACCTCCGTAAGCTGAGTTTTGCTCTCTGACTCCGCACCTACACTCCCTCGTTTCCAACCCTCTTGATCGCATCAAGAGAACTTCAACAAAAACTAAGGACTCTCTCTGACCTCTGTCCTCCTGACTTTGACCTTGTTCAAAAAACTGGTTTCGTGTTATCTGTCCCTCTCTTCCCTATTTCTATGGCCTTCCCAAAACTCATAAACCTGATATTCCTCTTCGTCCTATCATATCCTCTAGAGGTTCTGTCTCTTATTCTCTTGCTTCTTGGCTGGCCAAAAACCCTCACTACCCTTTCTTGTACTTTTTCCTCCTGCCCACCTCCATCACTCTCAAGACTTCATTGAACGGTTCGCTCTCTCCCAACCTGTAAGATGCTTAGTCTTGGAAACGATGATCCCTCTTCTACCAATGTCCCTCCCTTGATGATGTCCTTGATTTCCTTAAGAGAAGGCCCATGAAGGGCTTCTTCATCTCCCTACCCCCCATGATGTCTTTCTTGATCTGATCTGCCTCTGCTGTGGACTCATAATTACATTTCCTTTTCCTTCCCAAGGGAAATATATTCTCAAACCTTCGGTGTCGCTATGGGCTCTCCTCTCTCTCCTGTCCTTGCTAATCTTTACATGGAATACTTCGAGACTGTTCTTCTTCCTACCCTCGATGTGCAACCTTCACTCTGGGCTCCACTATGTGGATGACATCTTTGCTCTGTGGCCTCATGACTCCAGTCTCTTCCAACCTTTTCTTGAAGCTCTTAATAATCTTTGCCCCTTCCATTAAGTTTAAAGCTGAATGGGAATCTAATTCCTTGCTTCCTTTCCTTGATGTCCATGTCCACCGCTCAGATACAGGTTTTTCCTTTTTCCGTTTACCATAAACCATATGCACAGGCATGTACATTCACTACTTTTCCTATCATGCTTCCCCTGTCAGAAAGTGTTCTTATCTCCCTCTTTCTCCGTGCCCTCCGCATCTGTGATCCTCAGTTCCTTCCAGCAGAAATTTCCACTCTTCATAATTCGTTCTCCCGTCTTGGCTACCCTTCCCATTTCATAGACTCTGCCCTCTCACGTGCTAAACCAATTTCTTCTCTCCCAAACTCTCTACTCATGGAACTCTTCTATCCTCTGCCTTCCCTACATTTCCGGTCTTTCTAATCTCAACAATTCTCTCCGTCCCTTAGACATCAAGC